AGAATGAAGCATTTGGATCCAAACACATGGAAATGACTAACATTAGGCTTCCTTTCTTTCCATAGTTCATATGGAGTCTTTTTGTAAGTCTTATGAATGAGACTTCTATTCTGGGTGTAGCAAGCAGTGTTGATGGCTTCTGCCCAAAATCTTTTGGGTAAACCAGCTGCTTCTAAGATTGTCCTTCCGGCTTCTTTGAGAGTTCTATTCCTTCTTTCAGCAACACCATTTTGTTGAGGTGTTCTTGCTGCTGAGGTCTGGTGATGGATTCCATTTTCTTCACAGTACTGAATTATTATAGAATTAATAAATTCAGTACCTCTATCTGACCGGATCTTTTGAATTGAGAGGCTTTTCTCATTTTGGATTAGTCTCATCAATTCAGGAAGCTTCTTTTCTGTTTCATTCTTCTTCTTTAAGAATACGGTCCAAGTGTATCTAGAATAATCATCAACTATCACCAGTGTGTATCTTCTACCACTTAAACTTGTTGGTTCAACTGGTCCAAACAAGTCAAGGTGTAGTAGGCTTAAGGGCCTAGTTGATGTTTCCAGTTCCTTTGATTTGAATGATACCTTGGTTTGTTTCCCTTTTTGGCAAGCATCACAGAGATGGTCCTTCTTGAAATTGATCTCAGGAAGTCCTTTCACCAATCCTTTTCTGGACAATTTGTTGATTGTTTTGAAGTTGAGATGGCTTAATTTGTTGTGCCATTCCCAACTCAAATTTGAATCTGCCTTTGTCACCAAGCAGATCCCTTCCTTTGCTGAGCTCCAATCAACAATGTACATGTCCTTCTTCCTTCTACCAGTGAGCACAATTTTGTCATTTTTGACATCTCTAATCAAGCAGATGTCTTTGGAGAATGTAACATTATAGCCATTGTCACAGAGCTGGCTTGTGCTTATGAGATTGAACTTTAATCCTTTAACATAAGATATGTTTTGGATTGTAAGTCCATTGATGGATAGGTCTCCAGCTCCTTTGGTTTCTCCTTGTTTTTCCACATTCCCAAAAGTAACTTTGGGTCCTTCGCTTGCCATATAGTTTGACAGGAGCCGCCTGCTGCCTGTCATGTGCCTGGAGCAGCCTGAATCTATGTACCAAGTCTGTGAGTCAACTGCTCCAGCACCTTCCTGTATTCATCATTGTTGAGCAGTAGCCCACAAGTTAGTGGGCAACTTCCTTTGTACAAGTTTGGGCATCCATGCCCATCTAGAACCATTTAGTTCTAAGCAGATTGGTCTATAGCCATTTGAAGTATTATAATCATGGGGGATGGCTATGTATTTGTTAATCCTTTTTCTTCTTGAAGCGGAAAATGGATTATTGGCTTTTGGAGGAGACTGCTTAGTATTTTGACTGTGGTTGGTCTTATTGGTTGATTGCCAACGGGTTCTTGGGTTTTGATGGCTGGGAAGTTTTTGTTTGTACAGGAGATTGGATTTTGATTTGGGAGCAGGCAGGTTCCTTCTTATGGGGACTTTTTGAGAATGGGATTTTTGGTAGATTAGCTTTCTTGTATTTTGTTGGTGGCTTGTGGAGGGTGAGTTTTGAATGAGTCTGGTGGGGGATACATATCCGAGCCCTCTTTTCTTCCTATTTAGAACAACTTCAGCAGTAGAGTCAAGGGTTTTACTGTCCATGCTGAAGTTAGTCATTTTGTGTTTCAGCTCTTTGTTCTCTTCTTCTAAGACATTGTTTTTGGTTAAGGCATCTAACAATTTAGTATGAATAGCCTTAATGTCTTGTTTTAATCTATCATTTTCTGATCTTAAGAGAACATGGTGATTTTGGACTTTTTGGAAATCTTGTAATAAAGATTCCAGTGTAAAATTGGTTGGTCCAGAATCACTGGAGCTATAAGAAGAGCAAGATGTTACCTCAACATCATTGTAGTGGTCCTTGGCCATTAGGCATTTAGGGGAGCTGCATTCATCATCTTCACTGAGCCATCTGCTGCTTTCTTCAGTGAGCCAGCTGCCGCCTTCTTCAGCCACCTGCCAGGATCCCAGGCATAGAAGTGCTTCCTCTGAGCTTTCAGATGAAGAGCTTTCATCACTTGAGCTGCTTTCATCTTCAGATTGGGGTTCCTCCTTTTTCTTTTCACTTACAAAAGCTTGTCTATTGCTTTTGAAGTCCCTCTTGTAACTAGCTTTGGGACCAGTCCCCTGCTGCCCTTGATACTTCTGGGCTAAGGGCAGAGGGCATTCATTTTTGTAATGTCCTGGCTGTCTACAGTTGTAGCATAGAACAGTTTCCTCACTGGATTGAGGTCTCCCTTGTCTTCTAGGTGGCAGGTTGTATGCTTTCTTTGGAGCAGTTCCCTCCTTCTTCATGAATCTCTTAAATTTCCTCGCAAACATAGCAAACTGCTCGTCAGTGAGGAGATTATTGAGGGATTTTTCAGCAGATTTTGAAGTGCTTGGCTCAGACACTAGAGCTAGTGTCTTGTATTCATCTTCCTTCTCTTCTTTGATCTCCTTCATTTCAAATTCATAGGCCTTGAGATCACTGAAGAGTTTGTCAGTTGACAAAGTTCTGAGATCTCTGCTATCTCTCATAGCAGTCACCTTCATGTCCCATTTTGATGGCAGACCTCTCAAGATTTTAAGGGAAATTTCCTTTTGAGAAAGTTCTTTCCCAAGGTCAGAGACCTCTGCCACAATCTTCAGGAATCTGGATTCCATCTCATGGATAGATTCAGTTGACAGCATTTTAAAATCCTCAAATTTCTTGAGGGCTATGGTCAGTTTATTGTCCTTCTCCTGTTCATCTCCTGCTCCAATCTTTGTGAGCTCATCCCAGACATCTTTGGCAGTTTCGCATTTCCTGATTCTGGGAAATATAGATTCATCAACAGATTTGAAGAGAATGTCCTTGGCAATGTTGTCAAGATTGTTTCTCTTCCTGTCCTCAGTTGTCCATTCCATTTTGGGTTTTGGAATGTACACATCATCTGCCCCTTCCGTGGTTCTGGATGTGATGACCTTCATTATTTTGATAGGTCCATCATTAATTACTTCAAGCATCTCATCATGTAAAGCACTGAGATGTGCTCTCATCCGTATTTTCCAGTCGTCAAATTTGTTCAAGTTGAATAGAAGATTTTTGGCTAACTGACTGTCCATTTCTAGAAAGTGTTTGGGAAGTAGAGTGGTTTGGATCTTTAGTTCAAATTAGTCTGAAACTGACTCTAGGAACACTCTGCTCTGATACCACTTGACGGTCCCAGATAGGGTAAAAGTCTAGAGGGGGGGGGTGAATAGACTTTTAAATCTTTTTCAACTTTATGATGTTTTCCCTCTAGAAAAGTTGATCTATAATCTTTTGAGAGATTAATAGATGCACAGCGGAAGTCTTTACCCTTTAGGTGATGAGAGTTTGGCCACTTTCTAATTTGGGAAGATTGGACTTTGAACAGTGAGCAGTTGGCTTGGCAGTTGCCTGGATGGCAGGAAACTGCTGAGGCAACTGCTAGTTCAAAACAGGAGTTTGGAACAGATAATTATATGGCCTTGTGTAGAATGATGAGGACTTTATGAATATGTGTAGAGCTAAAGAGAATAAGAAGTTTAGCCTGAGCAGAGGTCTGAGCAGTTGGGTAGACCCAGGGAACTGCTAAGCCGTCTGCTGTTTATGAAAAGAGTATTTCTGAGAATTGGCAAGCCAAACCTTTTAGTAGTGGTATTCCAAAGCTCGTGTGAAACAGTTGCCTCAAAGAAAAGTGAGTTATTAAGCAGTAGGATAAGCAGTAGAGTCAATTAAGACTACTGCTTAGGATGCTGCTGGCAAACTACGATCCTTTTAGTGAGAAGTGTTGGGTGTGAGCTTTGGTGAGTAAAGGAGAATCAACACACGATGTATCCTGGTTCAGAGGTGGTGTAATCCTCCTACATCCAGTCCCATTCTCTTTCAAATGGATTTCCACTAAAGTATTCAGCCCAATACACTTAGTGCCAATCTAGCCTTTACAACTCTTAGGCCTAGATTGAAGGTTTTTCACAATGAGTATAACACCACTCAAAGTTACTCAGTCCTTAGACTTTTCTCAATTGATCCAGTGGGGATCAAAAGGTACTCTATCTATCTACCTACACTTTAGGATCCGAACAACTGTTCTCCTAAGTGTTTACAACCACTTGTGAAATGTTACAAGAAAGTTCTAACCTCCAACTATGAACTAAGCTCTAAAAATGTGAAAGTGTTGATCTAATCTAAGAGCTTAGTGAAGCATGAGGGTAAGCAGAGAGTAAAGTTGAGTTTGCACTTTCTCTTTTTGCTAGATAGCTTCGTATATGCTTTGATGAAAGTATTTCTCTGCTTAGGATGCTCAAGCTTGTTTTCGAACTCATGCTTCTACCTATATTTATAGGCCTTCATGGTTGATTAATCTCATCCGTTGGTTGAGATGAATTAATCCTTGTCGTTGAAGATCTCTGGCAAGGATAAGTAGTACAATTGTCTTCTTGTGCTGGAGCATTGATTTCAGCTGATCACTTTGTCTTGTATTGTGTGTGCGTCCCATGCCGCGGCCCCAGTACTTGATCCGGTATTAAATGCCGGTCAAGTTTTGTCTTCAATCATATACATTCAATGTATATGTTTATGTGACATTTAATTTTTGTGTGCTAATAGAATTATACTGGTAGGATTTAAATATCCTTTTTAAGGTAAAAGAATTTTTACCTTATTGCATTTTGACTTTCCAGTGTAATTTTATTAGTTCCAAAAATTTTACATTTATTTTGTCACATTTTAATGCTAATATTTGAATTTAATTTAGACACAATGTACGGGTGCAAAGTATAGTGGCATCATCAAAATCTATCAAAATTGGGTACTAACAATTTCTATTCTTTCTGGCAAGTTTTTCTTCCCTCATGAATCAATTAATATGATCAATTTAGTTTTTAAATTATTATGATTATTAAGTTTGCAAATGTTTTCTTTATAGACTGTTTTTCTAATTAATGCTATCATGTTTTCATTTGTCTTAGGTGTGGCTGGACTCGAACTTACAGTCTCGACCTCAGATGATGCTGAAACAATTCCAAATGCTCACCTGGGTCTTCTTAGTTCTTAAGTCAATCTGAAATCATCTTTTGCGTTTGAACTTTTTTGAAGCAGAAAATGGTATGATAAATTTATGCCTACTTTAATATGATAATCATCATTTTTTTAAACTGATTTGTTAAATCACATTGTTCTTTCATTAAACTATGTAAATTCTTTCAGGTAACTTTTCTTCCCTTACGAGTTAATGCTTATGAATGTTTTATTACACCAGTTTTTGTGCTATTGTGATTATTCAGTTAGTGAATGTTATTTGCTATAGACTATCCTTCTTATTAACATTATCATGGTTTCAGTTTTGCTAGGAGCAGCTGGCTTGATTTGAGCAATGCTACGTCAAATTCAGATATTCAATGGAAACAAGTCAAATTCACTTGGATCTTCTAATTCTTCTTAGTTTTTGTTACCATCTTGAAGAGAAACATCATTTTGTTATTGGGATTTTGCTAGTATTTATGTTTGGCTCTTCATGAGTGTTATGGATCAGTACTCTTTTTGTGTTTGATTAAACAGTTTTGCTTTGGCTATTCCATGTCCGCTTTCTTCAACTTACTGTTTTACTTCTTTTGGTACTTTTATGGTTTGGTGTTGCTGTGGCCTGTGGTTTTATATTTCTTTTCTGCGAAGTTGAGAAATCTGGACTGTCTAACAGCAGTGGTGTAGTGATTGAATAGCGTATACATACTTACCAAGAATAACGTAGTAATAATAATGACATAATTTTTTTTTAATAAAAGTGTAAATGTTGAATTAAATTGATTGATTATGGAACTTTTTTTCCACTAAAAACAGTGATAATTTTTTTGGGCTTTAACCGACCCTACCTGAACCCGAGCTTCAAAAAACCCGGCTCGGACCGAATGTGTTGGGCTTTTTTTCGGTCCCATTTTTTCATAACCCGAGAAGTTTCGGGTAATTTCCGGGTAGAGCTAAAACCCGACCCAGCCCGGACCGATGCCACCCCTAGCTCCGAGTATACACGTCAAAACTTCTGCCTCCAGTCCGGCCCAATACAGTTGCAAGCCAAAACCAGCCCCAAAAAGCAGAGTTTGAAGCTCGTGTTCCTTCTACGCGAGAGAGCTGCGCAAGATTCACGCGACGTCCAGGTGCGTCAACCAGATCCGAGCTTCATCCTTTCGCAGCAGCAATGTCCAGCGTCCACCTCTGACAATAAATCCCAGGCGATGGCGGCTGGCGTCTTCAGCAATCCGTCCGTCAGCTCCCAACGACAAACAAGGACGGAAAGAGACAAACTCAGTCTCTTAGGGGCTGTTTACTTGGGACTTAATGGACTTAATGACTTAACCATTAATTCGTTCAGTCATGTTTACTTGGAACTTAATAAAACAGAGGACTTATTCGCTCAGACAAGAGGCGACTCATTCGTTCAGCGGAAAAAATAAACTCCTCTGGCTTCAGACAAGGGAACAGGCCTGTTTACCTCTTTTAACCCTAGGCAATATTTTCTTTCATCATGCTTCGAACATCGTGTTCTTTGACGAACGAAAGAGAGGATCTACATCTTCACTACGGTCTACGGATTTATCTAGATAACTTCTGGAATTATTTATTTTTTAAAGGGAAAACTGTCAAATAGGTCCTCGAACTTTCATAAAAAGATCAATTAAGTCCTTCTATAGGAGGTTCTGTCCGGCCGTCGCGATTTGGGTCAGTTCCCGGTGGAATTTTTTGATGAAATTTTTTGAGCATCTTATTCACCAAGTCTAGTTTACTCATACCAAATTTCAGCTAAAAATTCAATCGAGAACACATTCAAATTAATTCGTGAAGATAACTGCGCATTTTTGCGTTCAAGAATTAATTTGAATGTGTTCTCGATTGAATTTTTAGCTGAAATTTGGTATGAGTAAACTAGACTTGGTGAATAAGATGCTCAAAAAATTTCATCAAAAAATTCCACCGGGAACTGCCCCAAATCGCGATGGCCGGACAGTTGCTCCTATAGAAGGACTTAATTGACCTTTTTATGAAAGTTCGAGGACCTATTTGACAGTTTTCCCTTTTTTAAATTTCATGTTTTTATATGAATATACAATTGCCTTATTATATGCTCTGCTCCGATTTTGAACCAGGAGCAAACTATCAAAGTAATCCACTTGCTGACTTGTTTGGCTGAATTTAATTGGAACACAAACCATAAAATAAGTAGATCTTCATTTTTACACATTCCAGATAATGGTTTCAATTTTCTGGATTTTTGTTTTGTGTAAACATTGTTTTTTGCTGGGTTTTCTAAGATGCCTCGACGGTGGCAATTCAGGGCGTTGTTCTTGCTGCTTTAGATTGAAAGTCATACGGTAAAACTCCTCGGTTGTGAAGTGATTTTTATTTCACAATTTTGTTTAAAAAATAGATCTTTGATTTTATGACTTATTTAATTATTTTCTGGTATATAAATTTTCTGGTAAAAAAACTTTTTATTTAAGTAATTCATAGTATTATTATTTTCTGGTATATAAACTTTATCTTTCAGAACGAGGAAAGTAAACAGACAATATACATTCAGCAATTGTTACCAACAGGAGGGTTGTTTGGTCATTTGACATGATTCAGACTTCTCATTCAGCACACTTAGTAAACAACTTGTTATCTCAGTATAACTTAATCCAGACAGACAACTTAATGCAGACAGACGTCTTAATCCATTCAGGACTTAATGAAGAAAATAGTAAACAGCCCCTTAGTCACGTCCAGCAATTCAGGGAGTCCAGGTTCGACTCCTGCTTCAAGCTCAAGCTTCTGTAGTTGCCGTCCAGATCCAGCTCAAGCCCGGCAACGAATGGATTTGGGCAAGCTACCTGCGACGACGAATTGAGAAACAGCAACCACCAGTGACTTCAATCGACGGTGAAGCGGCGTACGGTGGAAGGCGGCGGAGTACGACGGCAGACGGCAACCAGTCTCTGATACCACTGTTGAGGATCGATTCGTCAGGTCTCCAACCCTTTTGCTATACTCTCACACACCACTCTAGGCTAGACCACAACACAACTCCCTGCTTCTTCTCTACCACTAAGGTATTCTCTCCCTCTCAGACAAAGCAAAGGAAGAAGGAAGAAGGACACTGCTCTCTGGGAAGTCTCTCACGCAGGCTACTTTCACAAGGAAGAAGAAAGCTACTAAATAATAGGCTGGCAGACACAAAGGACACTCACAGGTGATGCAAAGACAAGGAGGACTGCAGCCGACATCTCAAAGGGGTCACTCCACATAAGTCAAAATGGCCATATTATTGGTTAGGTGAGATTCAAAATAAGAGGTGCCAAAGTGGGAGTAAACATGGGGTGCAAGTCAATAATAAAGTGGAAGGGAGGCCTTGCTAGGACCAATACCTCCAACAAAATGGATATTTTTACTCCTTATTATGTTTTGAGTTCGTAAGATTTCAGCTGAATTGTAAGACCTCTGTTAAGTAAATGGCATCTGCTTTGATGACCTTTCATATTCCTTAATATAGGTGAATACTTTTTTGTACCTTGGTTTCTTCTTCAATGTAAATAAGCTGTTAAGTTTTGTTCTGTTAAAATTTACTATTTTTTATTTATTTGCAGGCTGCTTGAAACCAGAAGTCGGAGAGCAGCTGCAACTTTACAGGCAAGTAAATTCTTGTTTGTTGATTTAAAGTTTCTTAAGAATTTAAGTCGTTATTTTTTATGGATATGAGTTTGTCCTGCTTCTCGGTTACACATTCTGATATGTGTTATTTATTTCTGGTTTTTTGTAGTGTACACTAAAGTTGCAGCTAGCAGTTCAATGTTGATCACACCCGTAAAAAAATTACTTGTAGTCTACTTTCAATTTAAGGAAGTTTCTCTAGACTGTATTTGAACGATGAAACAATTTGTTTAGTTCCTAGATTGCTACTTACTTATACAATGAAAGTAAGTTAAAGTTTTAATGTGTTTAAAATTTACTCTGTTTTTTTGTTGCATTTTGCTTTCAACAAGAAGTCCAAGCATGGATAGCTGCATGACTGGGTTGTTTTTTGGCATGGATTTATATTAATCATATAGAGGCCCACTTAATCATGTTTAGAACTTTAGAATGGGGTGAATCCTTGAATGTACACACAAGTGTTTATTTTATAAATAGGAATCTTATTTTTAATCTTCAACTTGTATTTCTCTTATTTCTTGTAAGGCTAAAGGTTCAAATATGCCCTTGAACTCACTTAAAGTGTTCAATTAGTCCCTTATATAGGAGGTTCTGCCCGGCCGTCGCTAATTGGGGTGGTTCCCGGTGGAATTTTTTGATGAAATTTTTTGAGCATCTTCTTCGTTAAGTCTAGTTTACCCTTACCAAATTTCAGCAAAACATTCAACCAGGAAGGCGGTCAAATGATTTTCCGAAATGTACTGCGTTGTTTAACTTCGCAGTTATCTTCAAAAAATCATTTGACTGCCTTCCCGGTTGAATTTTTAGCTAAAATTTGGTATGTGTAAACTAGACTTGATGAAGAAGATGCTCAAAAAATTTCATCAAAAAATTCCACCGGGAACCACCCCAATTGGCGCCGGCCGGGCAAAACCTCCTATATAAGGGGCTAATTGAACACTTTAAGTCAGTTCAAGGACGTATTTGACCCTTTAGCCTTCTTGTAATTTTTTTGCTTTTTCCATATATAATAAAACTTGAATTTCTCAGCATTATACATGTTCAAAATAATAGTCTTTAGTAAGATTTAATGATCGGAGTCAAATATTGTGATCTAATTAGATTAGATGATTCAAAATTAACAATGTTTTTAATGAGGGTGCATTTACTCTCATAATACAATTATTAGTGACGGGACCTATTCCCCTCATTATTTCTTTTAACCGCGGAAGCTATAGTGACGACTCATGACGGTATGTTTCCTGTCACTAAATGCATTTTATGACGGTATTTCAGCTTTTAACCACGGTATATCCTCTCATTATAGATCAAGGTACAAAAAAGCCAAAAAAAAAAAAGAAAGAAAATTATCCGAACACCTCCAAATAAGACTTTAATTTTGATCTGTTAAAATTATCCGTTATAATGTTAAAGCCGCCCCTGTTCATCTGTTAAAATTATCCGACCACCTACAAAAAACCACGGTATAATGTTTTGTTAATATGTTATGAAATTATTGGCATCACAAGATCAATGTCATCTCCACGTAATCATTTGGCTCAGCCAAAAAAAAAAATCCATCGCGATGAATATAGTGAACACAAACATTTTTTACATTATGGTGCAACGGCTGTTTTCTGCTACCGGTTGTGTTGTATAGTAGCAGCTTGGGTAAGATGGATTGCATGTACACTCTGTAGTATTAAGCCCTTATTGTGCTCATGCATAAAGAGGAAAGAGAAAAACATCAATCATATTGGAGGAGACAATTACTCCCTCCGTCCCGCTAAGATTGTCTCATTTTACCTTTTCGGGAAGTCCCACTAAGATTGTCCCATACCAAATTTGGTAAAATTTGTGTGACTCTAAATCATTCTTACTTTATTCTTACTTTATCAATTTAATATCAACTACACAAACTCAC